GTCACTGCTGGAAGATGGCGGGAGGGAGGGGCTACTATATTTGGGGAAAAATGGCCGCTCCTAGACTCAGTGATCATGATGAAAATTATTGCTTTTATTTTTTTACTGAGTAACGCTAAATTCATTAAATCACGGACGTATTATTTTTAGGTATAAATAATGATCCACTGATCATTCCTTGCTGAGCGGAATTTTCCTTTAATATATTTTCATTAAAAGAGCTGAAAATCTCACTGGAGCTTCCATGTTTCTCTACTTCTGTTTTTGCGTTGCAGGAGTGAGATTCAGCAAGCTGCTACAGTAAGAGTAACGGTGTGGGAGTTAGATGAGGGGAGAGGAAGCAGTAGCATAACGCATCTAGAAATAATCAAGCATATATAGAGTTGCCAGATTCCAGAACATGATCATCTACAAAAATTTTTCTACAGGTGGATCTCAATAAATCAGATCAACACAAAGAAATAAGAACTTAAAAAGTGAAATCCAAACCTCAGAACAGTTTTATCTTGTGTTGATTTCGGTGATTATAGTGAATGAAAATAGATATTTTGAGGTTAATACAGAAGCTGTACCTGCACAGTGTTAGGCATGAGGAAGTCTTCTTGCTGCTGCAGTTCTAGATGCAGCCTGTGTTTACCCTGCAGGCTCTCGTTGTCTCTCTGTAGTCGGCTTAGCTCCTCCGCCACCTTCTCTCTCGACTTCAAGAGCACCGCCTAAAATACAGGAAAAACAGGCCAAGTAACAACAAAATTATCTCTCATGTCTTCTGATGCAGCCGCTCGTTACCAGCTGCAGCCTATTTCCCAGCTAGAACCTTTGATTTTCCACTCAGGATTATTACCTCCACCAAAGTTGGAAACGATAATCCTGGTTTTCAAATATAAAATGATTCGAAGTTAGAGTTTAGTCTAAGTTTAGGTGGCATGATTAGCCGAGGGAAAGCCCACTGTGTTCTGTGGTCGTTTGGAGCTGCAGAGAGCCGGATGCTAAAACCAGGCTGCCCAGTAGAGCAGTGGGTAGCACTGCTGCCTTGCAGCGAGAAGGTTCCGTGGTCGATTCCCAGCCCGGGATCTTTCTGCATGTTCTCCTTAAGCATGTGTGGGTTCTCTCCGGGTACTCTGGCTTCCTCCCACAAACATGACTGTTAGGCTAATTCTCTTCTCTAAATTCTCCTTAGGTGTGTGTGTGAATGTTTGTATGTCCTGCGATGGATTGGCGACCTGGTCTTCAATGAGTAATTTTCCTTTGATTTAATCTGATCATTGATTGACACGTCTTATACTAAAAGTATGTCTCTGCTGTTTCTTTGTAATTAAACACATCAGAACTGAAAACTCCCACTTCTGTTGACCTTGTAATGCATCAGAAAACAATATTTTGCTTTATGAAATTACTGGTTTCAAGCAATAATGATGTTGATGTTAGGGATTTGGTGCAGATGCGAATAATCTTGTAGTTCCTTAATTATCTGTTGGAAGAAAAATTGAGGGAGCATTATGATTTTTTAAATTTAAAATCAAAAATAAGTTGCGCTGAATATTTTATTGAGACTAAACCATGTGAATGGTACATGGTTCAAAGCAACAGCTTATGATTTTATATTTATATATCTGTTGTAAGACAAACACTAAGCCTAAAAAAAATGTCATGAAGAAGGAATTTCAAGACTTGTTGTCTGGCCTTTAATTGAAGATCAATCCACCTTTTTTATTTCTGCATAAATAATTCTCTGACTTGTTACCAAAAAAACAATTTAAGCTTTGATATTTCATATCTTTAATTTAACTAAAACATTTCTTTTCCCCCCCCAATTAAATTAAATGTGATTTTTGTATTACTACCTCACTTAATTCATTTTTTTCTTCACATGCCTCTTATTTCTATCACTTTAGTTGGATATTCACTTTATTTGGATTTAGTTTTTACATATGCATAGATATACATACACATATATATATACAGAAGAGCTATATGTGTATATATTTTATCTCTTTTAATTCTTATTTTTTATCTTTATTATATTGTGTAGTTGGATGTGTGTATATATTATATAAAACTAACTGGAGCATGTAACAAAAGTAATTTCCCTCTGGGATTATTAAAGTATTTCTGATTTCTTATATTTCTCATCTTTCTCAGTCTGGATAGCCTTTTTTTTTTTTTTTTTTATCTGCTGTTATTTCTATCACTGTTTTAGTTCATAACACTATTGTTTTCCTCTACTTTGTGTTTTGCTCCTGAGAAATGCATGTGTGTTTGTAATAATCTCCTTTTATTCTCTAAACTGTAATGATCCCTTTTGGGAAAAAAAAAAAGATAGTGAAAATAAAGTCCTATCAGTGACTGATACATCCTAAACCCATTAGCCTTGTCTTATCATCTTGTGTTGTGAAGAAGAACAGGGATTAAATGAGGACATAAAACCAGCAGACAGGAGCTACAAGCTGCCACTTAGTTCAGCTGCAGGTGATCAACAAAGACAAAACTGATGATTGCTTTTCATGCTGGCTGTCTTCTTTTATATGCTGATAATAAAGTCATCAGGCGGCGACAGGCGGTGTTGTGTTAACAGCTGAACATGCAGCTCACCATCTGCTCCTGCGTGCTCCTCTTAGCCTCGCTGAAGGCCTGCTGTAGTGTGTTGAACAGTGTTTCCGACTCCTGGACACTCTGCATGAGGGCAGACACCTAGGAGGGCAAACAGGGGAAGGCTTTTAGAGAGTTACACAGGTAAAGGAAGAAGAGCAAATATGCTGGATTTTACACTGGAAAAAAAATCTAAATCTAGATAAGTCATTTTTCCTAAAATAAGTTCATTCGTTCTTGGATTAAGGAGGTAAAAGAGACATTTTGCCAATAGAAAAAGACAATTTAGACCTACAATAAGAAAACACAATTGCATTGTCTTATTTCAAGTGCATTATATCTAATTATCTTATTTTAAGAGTAAAAATACTCATTCCATTGGCAAACTATATCAATTACCTACTCAAATTGAGGGTAAATACACTTAATTTAAGACATTTTTACTTATTTGTAGATTGTTTTTCCAGTGTAGACTCCTATATTAAATACAGTATAAATAAAACATGACCTGCTGTTATTTTAAAAGCACCATCTAGCCACTCTTCACTTAAAAACAGGAAGCTAGTGCCATAAAAGGACGATGATGCATAATCATATTGTTGTGAATACAGACTTTTTCCATAGAGGAAAAAAAATTACGATGAGCGCATGTTAAATGAGAGGAAAAAAGATGAAGATGGCTTCCATTGTAAACAAAAAGCAACCGCTGGACATTTTTGATAAAACAAAGGGGTGAAAGAAACCAGAGATGAGGACCTAACAGGTCATATCTCTGCTTGAACAGATAGCTGGCACAGGGAGTCAACAGCCAGACCGCAGAGTAGAGGAAGACGTATGTTGTTGCAGAGGATCAAGTTAATCAGATAAAATATTTTCATTTTCAACATATTTATTTTTCCTCTATCAGAACAATGATGAGGTCATGCTGATGTTTTCAGGTGACATTAAATGAATTAATTCTCTTTAAATGATCATCCTTCATGTTTAGTCACATTAGTTAGCTTTAGCCACAATCATTTATTTTTGTGTCTGACCCAAACACAGAAGTTTGTATTTGACTCAAGCTATAGTCGGATTGTCACTATTTGATCCTCTCTTTCATCCACGACACCCGGAGCACTTAATTGAAGTGACTATTTAGGGCCTTACCTCATGTTGTGGCTAAACTAACTACACAGAGGCTAAAACTGTTTGTGTGGTGACTTGTGCTTAATGTAAATCTGCTGCACTACTGCGGTGTAGATAAACTCACAAGTAAAAAAAAAAATAACAAGCTGATTATGTGGAGAAAAGAGACTTTGACATTTACTGGAGGCTGGCTAATACAAAGTAAGGTGTTATGTTGACACAGACGTTAGGGCCCAGTCAAACCTTGCTGATTTAGCCAGTGTATGCCCGACGTCCCAGAGTCTTCTAAAATGTTGGCATACGCTTAATTTTCTATGCATTTTTCCAATTTTGAGTGCAATTTAGAGCATTCATAACGAGTCCAGAACTTATATGCAACAACAGCCTAACTTATGCATAAGGCACGGCAGCGTAATGCCCATGAAATGATGCTTGTGCATCATTTCATGGGCATCAGTTAAAGCTGCTCCCCTCACAAGCAGGAGGCGCCCGGTCTGCATAAAAAGATTTATTTTATCTCGGCATTAACCTAGCTGCTGTATTACCTCCCTCCCAAAAAAATAAATAAAAAGCAAAAAGAAAGAAAGAATGTTTGCAGTCGCAGCAGATTCAGCATAATGTCTGCTAGGAAGCTTACTCTTAACGTATGTCAACGATCAGATAACTTGCCTGTAAATTAAGCCCCACATATGGCATACGCTGGAATACGTTGGGAAATTTTGAGCATGACGTACTTGCTAATGTTGAGGTGCTTCTGGGTACTTCAGTGTGCTCATAACTTATATAAAACGTACCCATAACTTATCCCACATAGGCAGACACTGGCTAAATCGTCAAGGCGTAATAGGGGCATTATCAAACCTGCCTGCCCACATCAGGGGGACATTGCTGGTCAGAACCGAGGCAGACGTAATTCTGTCTATCTGAATGCAACCACAGTTTTTCCCAAAAGCTCCCTTTTCCACAGCGGCGGAATGAGATTGTAAAAAGTACTTTTATATCTAACGGTAGGGTATTAGTTTGTTATGTCTCCAGGGTACAGCAATCTTTTTATTAGTAATCTTTTATTTCTGAAGGAAAATATCTTAAGACTCAGTCTCATTAACTCTGACAAACTTCCCAGCTCCTTTCTAGATAAAGCACCCGATTCAGTTTTTTAAAATACTGTTTTGGAGCATGTTGGCCAATACTCTGATATTATTGTTGAATTAGTAGCCATGTGAGCGAAGGCGCCAGACTTGTCAAAAGGTAACAAAACAACACAGATATAAATATGCTCTGCTGTTGCTTATCACCAGCTGCTCTGCGTGATTCTGTAACCGGCATTGCAAACTTTTAATAGAAGATTGCTGTAACTGTATGGCTATGTATGATATCAGTAAAACAAAAGAAATGACTTGATCAGAATACAAAAAAGGTGTCGTTTATCAAAGATCCAATCAAGCTCATTAAGGGCTGGTTATCCTCCCACAGCAGTGTGTCGTAGTTAGCTTAACACTGGTATGCCGCAAATATTTTTGATTTATGCCCAATTTTGAAGGGTGGTCTGCGCCGTGTTGTTCCACGCCACAACACAAGAGGGACAACCAGGAACTGGCTAGGATTTTGGGTGTGGCGAGTGGCGTGTTTCTGTTCCGGTTACGGAGGTCCAGCCTGGATATGAAGATATTGAACGCTGGGACACTTTCTCCGCCTGGATCCATGATCTTTTTCACCCTCATGTCCTTTTTCAACAATTACGGTCATACAAACAAAACAAGCTGGTAAATCACCAAACAGGAAATATGCATAGCATGTAGGGCAGATTTTCTGGGTTGGCACCTCTGTGACGCCTTTGCTCTAGGGATCCCTTTGGCCATCTGGGGTTTTGGGTCCCCCCGGCGCTTGTCTCGGCGCTCTGGGGGGGCGGGTCTTTGGCTCTTCACATCCACTATTGAGCATTTTTCCTTTGGATAAACTTAACATGCACAACTGCACTCTCACAAACAACTACAGGTGCTTGGCTCCAGGTACTGAGAGATTCACTTCCATACAGAAAGCCCATATTCTTCTCTTCAGGTAACACAGTATACATGTCAGATTAAATAATACTACTTATACTTCAGTGATACTATCAAGGTGTTACTGTATTGTATCTCTCATACTATATCCATTGGTTGTCCTGTTCTTTTCAAATCTCTCTTTGCAGGCGATGAAGCAGACTGATATTTATTATCGTCTCCCTTTTATCTCCTTTCTTTCATCTTTTCTCCTTTTTCCTTTCCTGTTCTACTTTCCCATTGAAATGTCCATATAGTCTGAAATACTCCCTGGATGAATTATAATAAAGCTATTTATATGCATAAAGAACACTATGGCGATAGCTAGAGCTGGGCGATATGGCGATATATATCGTGAGGACGAGAGAAACATGTCTATCGTGACCTTTCTCCTCTATTTTTTCTATCGTGATAAACTTTTTCACTGTTCACTGTCATGGCCGCAAATTGTATAACTGGTGTTCTTGGTTTGGGGTTGGGATTCTCATATTAGGAAACAAGATGATGGGTAAAAAATAGGCGATGAAAGATTTTTTTCAACCCTGTCCATCTGACGGACTATGAAAACATAAAATGCAACATCAGTTGTGGTATATCGTGATATATATCGTTATCGTGATATAAAATAATCCATATCGTGATATAGTTTTTTTTCCATATCGCCCAGCCCTAGCGATAGCCATACTGCTACACTTGTGAAAGTAAAATCTGTTGGGCTCTCTTTGGCATCAAGACAATTATTCTTATTGCCACATTGCCAGACAGGACATTGTTAAAAAAAAAAGATAAAGCGTGTGTTTTTATAAACTGTCTCTTTGGTGTAGTTGTGTTGTTCACAGAGGTTTAACTCTTTGGCGGTCTTCGTGTTGCCTTACGCTTGTTCGGTTACAGACGTCTCTATTTTGTTTACAGCAATGAACCCTGCCATCGTCAGCGACACACCTGAATGCAACTCAAGAAGAAAAGTTGTAAAAATGAACGTCATATGTTCCATTATTTGTAAACTACAGCCTGGCAAAGCTAACCCTCCAGGTAGAAGATTGTGATCTCTAGCAGTACCAGTTTTCTCTGAAGAGCACAGCTATGTCATCTGTTTAAAATTAAAGCTCTTGGTTAGGAAGGTGACAAAATACAATTACCCGGTACTATAGTAAAGGTTTTGGTTTAATTATAGCTTTTTACCCTTTGCAGATTCTTATCTCTGATTTCCTATTAGAAACCACTCAGAAAGCAGCAGCAGAAAATGTCATGAAGAAGTGTCATGAATAAGGACGCATCGGTGCGCAGTAGGAAGTAAAGCCAAGCTGGTCTGGGAATGTTTCCTAGCTGAGGCCATTTTGGTGCAGTATGTGCATATTAACCTAACCAGAAAGTGGAAAGTCCCTTACCATAGATAATCTGTGGACATGTTAGTATTTTTTAGGGATGATTACAGATAATAACAGCTTGTCTGATCCTGGTTAAAGTCCTCTTCTCAAAGCGACATCTTAAACTCTGATATGGAAAAAGTTATCCAGGACTCAATGTCCGACATTTATTTCAATGATTGATGATTGTCTTCACAAAGGACACAGTGTGCTGTGAAGTAGTTTTTGTTCTTACCAACACCTTTTAAAGTCAGATTATTTAGAGCTATCTTACTTTTCTGCAAACTATGGCTTTAATAAAAAGGATTTAAAAAAGCAAATGTATGGAAAATTCTACTAGGCTGCTGGATTTCAGTTCAGATTAATCAGAATCACTGATTTATGGCAAAACAATGTTATGCTGAAACTGAATCTAAGCTGCTTTAACAAAATATTTTGCAATTTTTTTACTTTTCCTAATAAAAGTACGGATGCACGATATTCGGATTTTG